GCCGGACCAAAATTGCGTGGCTCCGCGAACGCGTTTGTTCTAGGATCAGGCCCAACCCAAGGCGATATCATCATGTCACACGATCCGCTGTCCGAGTCGGACGACCGCCCGGGTGAGTCCAAAGTCGAAACTCGATTCCTCACGGACCTCAGCAATCTTCCTCTTCCATGTTCTATAAAAGCAGAGCACCGCCTGGACGCACCACGCAACTCTCGTCAAGTCGCTTGATCGAAACCCAGCAGGCAGCAATGGACGTGGACCAGCTGATGGCGTCCTTCGGTGCGGTCACGATGCACGGCTCCAACCGGCCACAGGCCTCCGTCCCGGCGGCAACGGTGGACGAGCTGACGGCGTACTTCAGGGCGGTGACCATGCACGACTCGGGTGCCGCCGCGGCCGTCCCGGTGGCGCCGGTGGACCACGACGAGCCGGCGATGGGTGAGGAGGCGTGCACGCTGCGGGTGCGGCTCCCGGACGGGCAGTTCATCTGCAAGACCTTCGGCGCCGGTCGTCCGGCGACGGCGCTGTTCCGGTACTGCCACTCGGCGCTTACCGCCAGCTACGGCGCGGAAGTCGGGATGCGGCCGTTTCGTCTCCTGAAGCTCGCCGGCGGCGCCACCGATGAGATACGTCCTGAAGGATCGCCGCTGCGGGACCTCGGGCTGCACCATTGCACCGTCCACCTGGTCTTCTGGGTTTAGCCGTCGCTCGCATCGAGTCGGAGTTATAAATGTCACTGAAACGCTCCAAGTAACATGTGATCAACGAGGTGGCAAGGTGCACGAGAGGCCAACAAGAACAGGTGATCAACGAGGTGACCGACGAGACCAACAAGAACAGGTGACCAATAAGGTGCAGGACGAGTATAATGTTACAGTAAGTCTGTAACACGATCGAACAGGTGATCGGCATACGAGAAGACGATCGATGGACAGACCAGGAAGCAGATATGTCTGAGTCTGTACAGCCATGCTCGGAGAAGATGAAGGACGAGGAAGCTATGTACACTAGGAGGGCTCTTTCTGTAGTGTTGTGTTCGCCCATGGGAGCCAGAACCGGCTGTAAATATGCAATGTTTGCGTTGTTTTGCATGCTTTCTACTTTTTTTGTTTTATTAATGGAGCTTTGTATTATATACTACTAGTAATAAGAGCAACTCTAACCAATCCTCTATGAAGGTTAGAGGAATCCTCTAAACAGTAACTAGACAACCTCTTGTAATCTTTAGAGTAAAAATCATTTACTCCATAACCTCCCTGATGATAAATCTTATGGCTCCTGTCGTTCACTTCCGCGCCGTCGCAACCAGCACCCTAACTGCTGCCACTGCGACCCACTGCCTCCGCCTCCGCCCTCGCCTCAAGTCATCGGACGGTGCCGCCGGATCCCCTCTCCTCCCCCTTTGTCGTCACCACAGGTCACCGTAGTGTTGCCGATGAACAAACAACGCCATGGAAAGCACCCCATGGCTTCGGGGATCTCGCCGGAGTTAGGGGATGGGGTACCTACTTTCGTAGCCTGCCACCGCCACCGAAGCACACCCCGACAAGAAATCAGTTGTGGTGTCGCCAGTCTCCGTTATCCCATGGTGGAGGCCGACGTACACGGTGGCAAAGCCACGTTTTAGAGGTGTGTGGTCAATTGACCACAT